CTCTGAGCGCAGGCGTGCCCCAGGCCTTGCCCGCAGTCGCACGGCCAGTCGTGGACGCCCCTGTGAATTCAGCGGCTGCATTTACACAGTCGTGTACGCCACGCAACGAATTGATAGCCAGAGTCTCCACCAATCGTACCAACTGTCGCTCTCCACCGCCAACCAAAACTCTACTTGCCGGAGATAACCAGCACTCAGGTCGTAAGGGGGGACGCTGTATTATCTGGGCCTGCCCCTTGACTGCGCGTGTGCGTCCACGACCCCATCTGATGAGAACATCTGGAAGGGTTGCGAAACTCCCTTCTTTGCTTGCTCTCCGCCGCAAGGCGAGTCAGTCACGTAGTTCAAGCCTTGCTGGGCGAATGTTTGTGCAAACTTGCGACTGGCGTTGCCGTAGAGTAGGGCCCAGCGTCCCGCAAGGCAAGCAGGAGGGCTTGCGCCAGAAGACCCCGCTCCTCTCAACGTAGCAGAGGCTCTGGCCGAAAGGGCCGAGGAAGTTAGGGACCTGCACCCTGGCAGCTCGGCAGCTCGGACAGACCTGCTGTCGGCGCTGCACCGCCTCGCTCTCCACCTCGTCCTCTCCGCATCGCCGAGCAGACTTCCGCCTGGCCCGTCGCCAGATACCCGTTGCCATGCGAGCAGGGCGGGGGCGACACGTTCACCGCCGTGCGCATCAGACTGGGCTACGACGGCTGCGCCTCCGTCCGCCCAACATCCATCCACACCAGCCCAGCGTACCACGGCGACTTCAACTACCCGCCATGCATGGAGTACCGCAGCATCGCCCCCCCGAGCTTCAAGTGCGCCGTCGTGCTCGGGTATCATCGCCCGGGTCGACCGTTTCGCGTTTCCCGTGGATGACCGGCCCGATGCGCTCTGGGAGCTTGTCCACCTCCTCGCGACGATGGGCCACTTCCCTGTCGCGGTCATCAGGCGGTGGGCGCTACAGCGGCGCACCAGCACTCCATGGGCGAATGAATGGGTGCGTGAGACACGCGCGGCTTGGGCATGACCTTCTATCAACCGAAAGCGCGCGGCTTGGGCATGACCTTCTGTCAACCGAAGGCTTGGGCGAGGCAACTACTTGTTAAAAATCGCATCGCGCCCCCCCCTGTGGCCCTCCTCCGTCCACGCACTGGCCGGTGCGCCCCGCCGAGAGCTTTCCGGGGGCCGCCCCGCGGAGGTAGCCTCTTTACCTAACAGCGAAGACTGATAGGTTTCTAGTTGACTCAAAAGAGCTCACAGATCACTCCACAGGGGGGTCCGGGCAGGTGTTGGGGAGTTGCCGGGCGGCAGGGTGCCGGGCTCGTTTTTCACCAACAGTCACACACTTCGTGCTCTTCGACTTCCCAGAACTCCATTCCCAGGCCACATTCTCAATACCCGGATGCAACAGTCACACACTTCGTGCTCTTCGAGATCCCAGAACGCCATTCCCGGGCCACCTTTAGAATAACCGGATGCAACAGTCACACACTTCGTGCTCTTCGAGTTCCCAGAACTCCATTCCCGGGCCACATTTTGGATGCCCGGAGCCAACTGTAGGCCACTTCGTGCTCTTCGAGTTCCCAGAACTCCATTCCCGGGCCACATTTTGGATGCCCGGAGCCAACTGTAGGCCACTTCGTGCTCTTCGAGTTCCCAGAACTCCATTCCCGGGCCACATTTTGGATGCCCGGAGCCAACTGTAGGCCACTTCGTGCTCTTGGACTTCCCAGAACTCCATTCCTGGGTATGATTTTGAATGCCCGGAGCAAACTGTAGGCCACTTCGTGTTCTTCGAGTTCCCAGAATTCCATTCCCTGGCCACATTTTGAATGCTGAGGCAGGCTGATGCTGAGGCTGAGGCAGGCTGAGGCAGGCTGAGGCTGAGGCCGAAGCTGAAGGCAGACTCAGGCTGAGGCTGAGGCTGAGGCTGAGGCTGAGGCTGAGGCTGATGCAGGCTGAGGCTGAGGCAGGCTGAGGCTGAGGCTGAGGCAGGCTGAGGCTGAGGCTGAGGCTGAGGCTGAGGCTGAGGCTGAGGCTGAGGCGAGGCTGAAGGCAGATGAGGTGAGGCTGAAGCAGGCTGAGGCTGAGGCAGAGGCAGGCTGAGGCTGAGGCTGAGGCAGGCTGAGGCTGAGGCAGGCTGAGGCTGAGGCTGAGGCTGATGCAGGCTGAGGCTGAGGCAGGCTGAGGCTGAGGCCGAGGTTGAAGGCAGACTGAGGCTGAGGCTGAAGCAGGCTGAGGCTGAGGCTGAGGCAGGCTGAGGCTGAGGCTGAGGCAGGCTGATGCTGAGGCAGGCTGAGGCTGAGGCTGAGGCTGATGCAGGCTGAGGCTGAGGCAGCTGAGGCTGAAGCCGAGGCTGAAGGCAGACTGAGGCTGAGGCTGAAGCAGGCTGAGGCTGAGGCTGAGGCAGGCTGAGGCTGCGGCTGAGGCAGGCTGAGGCTGAGGCAGGCTGAGGCTGAGGCCGAGGCTGAGGCTGAGGCTGAGGCTGAAGCAGGCTGAGGCTGAGGCTGAGGCGAGAGGTGACTAGCCAGGCTGAGGCTGAGGCGAGGCTGAAGCAGGCTGAGGCTGAGGCTGAGAAGGCCCGAGGGCGAGGCTGAGGCAGACTGATGCTGAGGCTGAAGCAGGCTGAGGCTGAGGCTGAGGCAGGCTGAGGCTGAGGCTGAGGCAGGCTGAGGCTGAGGCTGAGGCTGATGCAGGCTGAGGCTGTGGCAGGCTGAGGCTGAGGCCGAGGCTGAAGGCAGACTGAGGCTGAGGCTGAAGCAGGCTGAGGCTGAGGCTGAGGCAGGCTGAGGCTGAGGCTGAGGCAGGCTGAGGCTGAGGCAGGCTGAGGCTGAGGCTGAGGCTGATGCAGGCTGAGGCTGAGGCAGGCTGAGGCTGAGGCCGAGGCTGAAGGCAGACTGAGGCTGAGGCTGAAGCAGGCTGAGGCTGAGGCTGAGGCAGGCTGAGGCTGAGGCTGAGGCAGGCTGATGCTGCAGGCTGAGGCTGAGCTGGGCTGAGGCCATGCAGGCTGAGGCTGAGGCCGAGGCGAGGCCCGAGGCTGAAGGCAGACTGATGCTGAGGCTGAGGCAGGCTGAGGCTGAGGCTGAGGCAGGCTGAGGCTGAGGCTGAGGCAGGCTGAGGCTGAGGCTGAGGCTGATGCAGGCTGAGGCTGAGGCAGGCCGAGGCTGAGGCCGAGGCTGAAGGCAGACTGAGGCTGAGGCTGAAGCAGGCTGAGGCTGAGGCTGAGGCAGGCTGAGGCTGAGGCTGAGGCTGAGGCTGAGGCTGGCTGAGGCTGCTGAGGCAGGCTGCTGAGGCAGGCTGAGGCTGAGGCTGAGGCTGAGGCAGGCTGGCAGGCTGAGGCTGAGGCCGCTGAGGCCGAGGCTGCAGGCAGACTGAGGCTGATGCAGGAGCAGGCTGAGGCAGGCTGAGGCAGGCTGAAGCTGAGGCTGAGGCTGATGCTGAGGCAGGCTACTGCGACTGCGACTGCATCGCGAATGCGACTACGACTGCGAGAACAGCAGAACTCTACAACTGGATTCTCATCTGAATCTTAAGGGGGATGCTTCCAGATATGCTCCTACACATCGCTGTTAGGTTGCTTTGCCGGGATAATTTCTGCCTGGCAATACATCTGTTGGCAGGAACCCAAAGAATTCTCCGTTGGATCTGCTCTTCTTTGCGCATGTCGGGTATAGCAGGCATGGGCGCATGCGCATTGTTACCTATGCGTGGGCTCTCTGTACCACCGCACCGCAACACCACCTCGGCACGAGCGCCAACCATGCATCGAGCACAAGGCGAAGGGTGGTTAGCAACTCGGCGCGGGCACGACATTGTCACGAAACCTCTCTTGGCCAACCTCGTTTCTGCACGTTCAGCTGAGGAGAGTGGCCGATGAAACAGGCCAGTCGGGCAACCATTGTCACGGGTAGCCTTGGTCCTTGCGCAAGTTGCCCGTTGGGTGCCTGCGCTGGCGGTGGAAGGTCTTCGGGGGCCAGGGCTGCGCCGGGGCCACTGCCCAGAACGTCGGCCACATTCGCAGGACCCTGCTCCTCCAACTCCGCCTCCGCCTCCGCCTCCTCCTCCTCCTCCTCCTCCTCCCTCCTCCCTCCTCCCTCCTCCCTCCTCCTCCCTCTCCCTCCTCACTCCTCCTCTCCTCCTCCTCCTCCTCTCCTCCTTCCTCCTCCTCTCCTCCTCTCTCTCTCCTCCTCCCTGCCCTCCTCACCCTCCTCTCCTCCTCCCTTCCTCCCTCCCTCCCTCCTCCCTCCCTCCTCCTCCTCCTCCTCCTGCCTCCTCCTCCTCCTCCTCCTCCTCCTCCTCCTCCTCCTCCTTCTGCGCATCGGCACTCAGGTCTCACAGGGGACCTTCCGCCGCCCCGTGCGCAGCGGCCCCCGTGCAAGCCATCCCGGGTCGAGGAGCACACCCTGCAGACCCTGCCCTCGGCCGCCGCCAGGGCCACCCCATCGAGAGTGGCTGGGGGTTGCCTGCGCCCGTTCGCCTCTCCCCAACTCATGTCCCACCCCATGGGATAACGAGCGCGCCGGGCGTCTGCAGCTTCGGATGCCGTTCGGGGTTCCCCTCTTTCGGGAGTCCCGGCTCAGCACCGTCATCGGGAGCCACTTCGAGAAGCACGCGCGACCCTCCCTCTCGTCCCCCCCCCCCCCTGTGAGGACCGTCTTGAGGCCTCACCCATGAGGACCGCCAATCGGCCTCACACCCCGCGCAGCTTCCATCATCGGGGTTGCGTGGGTTTCCCCCCGGTCACGACGGCGTGAATAGCCACAGAAGGGGGCCGAGGACTCCTCTAAGGACCCTCGGCCAACGAAGACGCCCTAGAGGAGGGCCCAACGTACCTCCACAGCTTTACAACGTTCTATTATGGTGTCAATTGCCACCCTCGCGGTTCCTCCCTCCCTTCGCCCTCCTCCCTCCTCCTCCATCAATTCTCCTTCCCTACCCCTCCCTCCCCCCCCTCGTATGACCCGATGGGGACCGCGACGTGAGGCTCTGGGGAGACGCACCGCTGAGCCGAGCGCAAAGGCCACCACGGGCACCGCCTCGCGCGACTCCTTCGGAGAAACGCGGAAGATCACGCTGCGGGATGGCAGGCTGGCGCGGGGACTTAATCGGGACCGACGGTCGGGGAGGCATGCTCCTGCACCTCCTCCTCATCATTCCCCTGCTCCTCCTCACAAACATCACCATCACAATCACCATCACCACCACCATCACCAGCACCATCATCATCATCATCATCATCATCATCATCATCATCATCATCATCATCATCACCATCATCATCAACAACATCAACAACATCGTCAACATCATCATCCGCATCACCGTCATCATCGGTAAGAGAGAAGCAGCATCCTCATCGCCATGTTCGTCGCCAATAGATGAATACCTCCTATAAACAAAGGTCTATGCTTTGTATATACATATACACACATGAACCTTACACCATAATCGACCCTGCGGGTTGCGATCGTTGGGGTGAGAAACGTCAATGACGGCGTGCACTCCCATTGCACTTGGAATCGCACTTCGATGTGTAGCCTAGATTGAACTTCTGCGAACTCTGGATGTCAGTTCGATGTTGGTGTCGAGGTGTATTTCGATCTGACTTCCAATGTGCATGACGATTGATGTTGGAGGTACATGTGTCGATGTGCATGTCGATTGCATCTCAACGTGCATCTCGATATGCGAATGAACGCGTTTCACGGGCGCTTGCCTTGGGAACACTCGGCGGCGCGTTTCAAACCGGGGGGTGGCCCCCCCCCCAACACTCGGCGCCGTCGATCAAAACCAGGGGGACTCCCCTCCCCCCCAAAATCCCCCCCCTCCCGACCCCCCCCCCACCCCCCCCACCCACACCTCGGCGCCGGCGCCGGCTCCAGCGCTGGCGGCCGCCAGCAGCGCCCACGGCGAGGACGCAGCGACGATGACCAGAGGCAGCTCAGGAGGCAGCTCAGGGGTGGGGGGGAGGGGGGGGGTTGGTTCAAACCCCCCCCCCTGGCGCCGGGGAAAGGAGTGGGGGGGGGGGTCAACCCCCTCCGTCACGGGAGAGGGGGGGGGTCGAACCCCCCCCCCCTCCATCCAGGGGGGGGGCGTCCGGCTCCCAACCCCCCCCCCTCCAAGCGAGCACAGAACGCGCTCATTCCGATATGCGTGTCGACTTGTCTTTGAATCTGAACGTCGAGGTACAATTCGATATGCATGCCAATGTCCGTGTCGGTGCGCATTGCGATGTACATGTCAAATTGGACTTCAATGTGCAGTTAGATGTGCATTCCAATGCTCACTTCGGGATTCAGCATTCCCCCGGTATTGCTTGCACTTAGGGGGCTCTGACCTGCGTTCCTACAAGAGTGGATGCGTCCGTCGAGTCGTCGCCGCGTCGCCGCCCGTTGCCGCCCGCTTGGGGGGTCCGTCGAGGTTTCGCCGCGTCGCCGCTCGCTGCCGCCTCGTTGCCGCCCACTTGGTGTGCCTGGCGAGGTCTCGCCGCGCCGCCGCCTGCCGCCGCCTCGTTGCCGCCGGCTTGGGGGGCGCGGGCCTTGGGGGAACCGTCGAGGTTTCGCCGCGTCGCCGCCCGCTGCCACCTCGTCGCCGCCTCGTTGCCGCCCACTTGGGCGGGGGGGTCCGTCGGGGTCTCGCCGCGTCGACGCCTCGTAGCCACCTCGTTGTCGCCTCGTTGCCGCCCACTTGGGGGGGGGTCCGTCGAGGTCTCGCCGCACCACATCCCGCTGCCGCCTCGTTGCCGCCCGCTTGGAGGTGTCCGTCGAGGTTCCACTGCGTCGCCACCCGTCGCCGCCTCCCGCGCTTTGGGGGTCCGTCGCCGTGGCACCACATAGCTTCCAACACATAGCTTCCACCACATAGCTGACACCACATAGCCTGCACCACGCAGATTGCATCACATAGCTTGCACATCCACAACGCAGCAAATGTCTGTTTGGAGCTCATGCTGGCTAACATATTATATTGCATGTCGTTTTCATTTGGGTCATTTGGGTCTCAATATCGTCGGTTGCCGTTTGACTCACGTGACGACCTGTACGTCTGAGCATATGTCGGTTGTCACTTTCCCCAATCAGAGCTTGCCTCTGTAGGGGTCTAAGCGGAATCATATGCTTTGGTGAGGTTCGTCGCCGATTTCGGTGGCCAGTCCGGGTGCCCAAGGATGCCCAGAGGTGCCTGGGGGTGCACCGGTGCCCGGGTGCCTAGCAGCCCTATAGCCCTATAGCCCTATAGCCCTATAGCCCTATAGCCCTATAGCCTTATAGCCTTATAGCCCTATAGCTCTATAGCCCTATAGCTCTATAGCCCTCTATCCCTATAGCCCTATAACCCTATAGCCCGAATAGCCCTATAGCCCTATAGCCCAATAGCCCTATAGCCATATAGCCTTATGGTCCTATAGTCTTATAGCCTTGTAGCCTTATAGCCTTACCGCCCTATAGCCTTATAGCCCTATAGCCCTAGGGACTATCGCCCTATAGCCCTATAGCCCTACAGCCCCAGAGCCTGATA